ATGATTAACATAAAACTTCCTAACACAATTGGAAATTGAAGTGGTTGGGGAAGCAGCAGTCTAAACGTGGTCGAGCTTTTCTTTGTTTTTTCTCAAAAGGACTTGGACTTGGACGTGGTTGGGGAATCTCTACTTTCGTCCTTTTTAGGACGAAATTTTTTGTCATTTGGAGCCCTACTCTGGCTTTTGCCAGGGGCCGCAATATAGGCAGGCCATAAATATGGCCAATAGTCTGAACGCGGTTTTTGGGACCTCTACACGGCGATCCTCATCCGCATGGTGGCACTTTGTGTCATCGGGTGTTTGTCGCTTGTGTGATGTCCTGGTGTAGAAAGTTAGTCAGTGGTTGGGGAGGGACTACATTCAAAATTAATAACTTTCTGTCCTTTTCAGGATGACATTTTTCGTTATTTGAAGCCCCTCTCTGGCTCTTGCCAGGGGCCGCAATATAGTCTGGCCTCACTATGGCCTAAAGGCTGAACGCGGTTTCTGGGACCTCTCCACGGTCATCCTCACCCACATGGTGGCACATTGTGTCATCGGTTGTTTATCGCTTGTGTTATGTCGGCCGAGAAAGGGGCGGGGAAATCGGCTTAGCCTTTTTTAAATTGTTGCTGAAGAGCAGAGGCTATAAAACCCACCACCATCTCAGTAAAATCATTCTAGGGGACCTAGGTAACGGAGCTGAGATACTATTGAAAGATTCTCAGAATACCGTGGACAAAGAAGAGAAGAACTATTGACATTTTAAAAGATCTGAACATCAAGAAAATTGGCTAATAAACAGCATCTTGTCTTGGAAGCTGAAATATCTTGGTCACATAAGGCGCCATGGTAAATTTGAAAACAAATAATAGCAAGGGTACCAGGAAGGAGAAGCATTGACCGATCAACGCGAAGATGGGCATAGGATATAAGTGACTCAATAAATATGAAAGTGCACGAAGCAAGAGAGCTGGTGAGAAACCGAGTTTCTGGCAGACAGTGATAATAACGATATTCTGCAAATGATCTGCTACATGGTGGTGATGACTGATATGTTTTCGTTTGTTTGATTTTTATATTATCGACTTGTATGTGGCCGGAGTTTACATTCTTTTCTAAGTTTTGTTATTATCATGTATTCTATCTAATCTTGAATAATAGCTAGTCCCATTTTGTGAGCTGCATCTTTTAAGAGACTGTGTTTTTACAGTCTAGTTCATTTTCTTCAACGATATCAACATTATCTGCATAACAAAGTATTTTTTTGTGTCTTTCTATATTACAGCCTTCTTTTAATTTCCTTTTAATTGTCTCCAGGGCCAAGTTGAAAAGAATTGGGCTCAGAGCATGACCTGGCTCTAAGGACAAGTAAAGGACAATTTTCCATGCCTTTATGCGTATAGGGCATATAGGGCTAGACTTATATTTTTATAGACCAATCGGCACAAGATGGGTAACGTGGTCAGCATCAGGCCGGCCGCCTTTACTTTCCGGGACTGCACCTGGTACCCACTGAGGCTGGGCCGACCTGGGAGGCAAGGCTATTTTTTGAAAAAAAAGTCAACCTCTGCCAGGGAGCAAACCCGCGACCTTCCGATCCGCGGCGAGCGTCTAGCAACTCGGCTACGGCGACTCTCACCTTGCTTTAAACAGATGTTGTTTAAAAAGGGTCTGACTTTCTGCCTTTATATGTTACTATATTATAAGCGTCTTCCGTCCATAGTTTGAACATGGTGACTAACTTATTTGGTATTCCACAGTCCTTCATACCATTCCATAAGCTGTTTCTATATACACTATCATATTTACTTTTTAAAATCCACAATAAAACATTATGTACATTCTCTTTTTATATTGCCAATTTTGCTCTACCATTTGCCGTAAAATGAATATCTGATCTATCGTTGATCTGTTCTGTCGGAAATCTGCTTGGTAATCACCCATTATGTCTTCGATGTATGGTTTTAACCCCTTTAGCTGTACCGCCAATAGTATCTTATAGCTTGTAGATAATAGAGACATTCCTTAATAATTATCACATTGATACATGTCTCCTTTCTTAAAAATGGGTATTAATAATGACTCTTTCCATTCATGGGGTAATTTCTTCGTCTTCCAAACTAGTTTCATTAATTAATATATCTTTAATTGTAATACATGACCATAATTTTTATAAGTCCAGCGGCAATTCCATCAGCGCTAGTCGCATTATTGTTTTTTAGCCATGTTACAATATACAGTACTTCATGAAAATCAGGCTCTTCAAAATTTTGATTCACATGTTAGTATTTCTTCCTGTGGATAAGAATTTAGTGGAGTTTCACAATTTAACAATTCAGCAAAGTATTCCTTCCATCAGTTACATATTTCCTCATTATTATTTTTCATGTTCCCATTGTGACCTTTTAAACTATATATGCTGTGTTGATGACCTCATATTAAAGCCTTCAGTTCTTTAAAAAAAAAAAAAAAAACTTTCTGAATTCATTGATCTGATGGTTAGCTTTCATTTCCATGACAATATTGTTCATGTTTTCTCCTTTTTGCTCACTAACTGTTATTGTACCTTCTTTAAATTCTTTCTATGTTTTTCTTCCTTACAAAACCATTATTATATCACATGACCGCATACCGTGGGTGTACCAGTTGAAGCCGCGAGACAACCATTACGGAGCCACCCGTCGTTACATCAGTCAGAACAGAATGAGAGTTGTTAACCTAAAAACGTTTAGAGACATACTCAGGCTGACTGACTGACTGACTTTCTACCCCACTAGGACATCACACAAGCGATAAACACCCGATGACACAAAGTGCCACCATGCGGATGAGGATCGCCGTGGAGAGGTCCCAGAAACCGCGTTCAGACACTTGGCAATATTTATGGCCTGCCTATATTGCGGCCCCTGGCAAAAGCCACAGTGGGGCTTCAAATAACAAAAAATTACGTCCTAAGAAGGACGTAAGGAATCGACATACTCAGGAGGAAATTAAAGCATTTATGGTCATGTCCTATGTGCGATGAAGATGATCTCTAAATTGAAAATGAACAATATTTTATTATACTATTATATTCACTTAAGCAAGGTTTAGGACCACTGAGTCCCCATCTAAAAACAAAAGGGTTTATACCCTCTTCCTTTCTGTTGAGTCCTTTTATGCCCCCTCTACCCCCCCCCCCCCCCCCGACGTTTCCAATGTTTTCTCCGTGTTGGTGCCCAGACGGTTGCGTCTATTTTGTTTTTATAACCAGAAAGCATGAGTTGTTTACCCTTTGGCTTGGTACTAAGGATATCGCAACCCTTCAGCCTTGATACCATGATAGGTACCGTAAATCTGGGAGAAATATGACTTTTCTGCCTAACCTCGGGCGTGAACCCAGACCACAAGGAGTTCGTCACCCGGTCGCCGCGCAGTCAGGTTTTATCAACTGCGCTAACGAGCCGGGTGTTACGTCTAAATATCCACAATGACATTTATAAACAACTTTTACCGACAGATCCAACACACAGCGGCCAATGTCCAGTGAAACATTATTTCTGCAGAGTCAAGCGGATGTGTATACCTCGTCAACTGTGCTGTGACGGCAACCACAACTGTGGCAATAGTGATGACGGCGACGAGGAGCAGTGTGACAGATATAACACAGCCACCGATTTACTTGCTGGATGTGAGTACTAATGATCCAGTATTTCTTGTTTTTCTTCTTAGCATTCATTGGCGGAAACTTATGTTTGTTCGTCCGCTCCTGGACTTTGGTCTTGTTTCAGTTGTTAAGCTGTGCGCGCACATCCGTTTTACACATCTGGCTTATTTGTATGCAGACTGTTCGTGGCTTGTCCTCTTTGGTAGATGCACTCCCTTGTTACAAGGGGCGGGGGCAGGGGGGTAGATGCAGTGGGTTCATTAATTTATCTCTAAAATGAAGGCCAAGAATCTACACGGGGAATCCAGTACATTGGCAACCTAGAATCCGAACATAATACATTCCGAGGTGGTGTTCGAACTCCAGATCATTGGAGTTACAAGCCAGTTTTTTTCCCCATTGAAAAAAATTGAAACTAAATTAGGCTTTTCCTAGGTCAAAGAAATTCAAACTTTAAATTACATTTCGCCCAAATATAGCACACTATAAATATAGCAACGCATGGTGGTTATATTTGAAAACAAACATAAATAAACACAAAAAGATATAAAAAATTATTTTATTTACTCTACATTTATCAAATTGGTAACACAACACACGGAAGTAGGTAAAAGCAGGGTGTTTTGGGGAGATTATTGTCAGGAAGGCGAGTCACCATGGTACGCCCTTGCTATTTATTCTTAGACCCAACGTGTCTCCTCATTCTACTGGTAAGACATCAGCGTGGCTGCATCGGGATACGTTTCGTATCTCTCCATGATACTTTCCATGGTAACATAATGAATCCTTTCGGGTGTATCCTAAAGTAGTCATTCGCCCCTTTTGAGGATTGTGGTCACTAGTTTTTATTGACAGCCAGCTTTTTAAAGTGCTCCGATGTTAGCGACTATTTTTTAATTTTTCTAAAATGTTCGATAAGGTTATCTTTGAATAAGTTAACTCACCGTAGGGTTTCCGGGGCGCCATTGTGAGGATAACAAGAATAGATCCACTGCCTCTCCAACTAACAAGTCCTAGGTGTCAACTAATTGTCGACTTCCTTCAAAGTGGGAGTGCAACTGCCAAAGCAGCAAGGAACAACCAACTGCAGACAAATAATCCAGGAAAATGGATGTACACGCAAAACTCAGACCCTGGCACAAAGCCACAGTCAAAATAGGAGAACAACCACGACTTTTCATCGTATTGGCTATATACTAGACCTGTACTTTTTAGTAGGTCTGTACCGAATAGTGATTTTCACTATTCGGCCGAATACGAATAGTGGGACCAACTATTTGGCCGAATACGAATACGAATAGTGTATCATCATCAGGTGCCTTGCCGACTGGCGTTGGCGATTTCGCCTCGCCACAATCTGCGATCTCCTGCAGCATGTATCAGTTCATGTGCTGACACACCTCCATGACATGCAACAAGACTGTCAAGAATCTTCTCTCGTCTTTTTCTATCTCTCCTTCCACAAATCTTTCCAGTGGTCACCACATGTTCCATTTTCACTCTTCTTATAAGATGGCCGAAAAATGATGTCTCCTTCTGATGTCTGTGATTAGTTGTCTTCGGGCTCCGCCTCTTTCAAAACCTATTGGTTGCTTATTTTAGGCTGTCCAAGGTATTTTAAGCATTGTTCTGTAAAACCACATCTCTGAGGCCTCAAAAAATTGTTTGGCCTAGCCACCGATTGTCCAGGACATAGCCATATGTTAAAATTGGATGTATGTAGCAAGCGAGACAAAGATATATTGCATAAGATGTTCTCTTTTTTTTTTTTATTATTTTAAATGCAGTTTTTGCCTGTTCTATTTTGTTTTTTATTTTAGTAATGCATCTTCCATCTGATTTTATCCATGTGCCAAATTCGCATTTAAATCATTGTTCGTTCAGGCGTTCGTTCGATGTAATTTAAATGCACCTTCATATTCTCGTTCGCAATATCTTTAATCTGATTTGGGCAAAGACACCCCGAAAAAACGAAAAAATGCATGCTCTCTCTCTCTTTCTCTCTCTCTCTCTCTCTCTCTCTCTCTCACACACACACACAGATACACACGCACAAAAGCAACAAAAAAGAACGCATTGCCCTTAAAGATACGTGCTTACTTGACGAGGCTAACAATTAATATTGTTCAGACCACATTTTTCACTTCAAAATTTGAGCAGAAATGTAGTCACAACCTTACTTATCCGCTGCACCTTCACGAATACAGATGGAGGATTGGTCGCATATCGGGATAAATACAAAGACAATTTTTAGCAAGCTGCGGTTGGCATTTTATTCAGTATGATACACTGAAAAGGGGGGGGGGGGGGGGGGGGGGGGGGGACTTTTTCGACAGTGGCGAGGAAAGACAATTTAAATTTTAACTTTCAAGTTTCTTCACGCCTTCTTTAACACAACAGTAGCGTTGCCTAAATCTGTCGTAGAGGGAAAAACTGCGACCCGGCTGCGTGGTAACAGAGCCTGCTGACTCCTCCAAGGTATTACAGCAGAGGTTCTAAAACTGGGTGCGTAAGCCAGGGGTGCCGCGGCAAAAATCAAGAAAAGTCGGCTAAAAATTGTGACATTATTAATGAGAGAGTTATTTCAGTCCATCGCAGAAATCACTATTCGTATTCGGCCCGACCGCCACTATTCGACCGAATACCGAATAGCTATTAGGTCCACTATTCGGCCCCGAAGCGAATACGAAGCGAATATTCGGTACAGCCCTACTTTTTAGACAAACCGGCATTCGGTGAGTAATGTCGTCAACATCACCCTGGCCGTCTTTTCTTCCCAGGATAACCATTTAAGACTGTGTCGACTTTGGAGCCAATTTCATTTCTGAAATGCCAAGAGAAACACAGGTGCAAGCCAAAATTTACAGGTCCTTGAGAGAATAAAAAAAAAAAAAAAGTTAGTAAAGTTCATACTAGAGACAACATTGCAGATATAAATAATCTATTTCAAGAGAACGAAAGAATTAGAAGAAGATTTCTGAAAAGCAAAAGTTTAGCTCTGTTAAGATATATTGCTCTTAAAAAAAAACGTAATGGAGGAGAAAGATGAAGACAAACGCAAAAGAGTCAGGCAGCGATACAAGTTAGTAAAGTTCATACTAGAGACAACATTGTAGATATAAATAATCTATTTCAAGAGAACGAAAGAATTAGAAGAAGATTTCTGAAAAGCAAAAGTTTAGCTCTGTTAAGATATATTGCTCTTAAAAAAACGTAATGGAGGAGAAAGATGAAGACAAACGCAAAAGAGTCAGGCAGCGATACAAGTTGGGGGATATCTTGAAGAAATGGACGAACACAGCCTAAGAGACTACATTCAAAGACATGGCGTTTTAGATCCATTGCAGGCAACATTAATTGTGGAGACGACACCTGACTAATAGAATACTTCTGTAAGTAGTCACGGGGTTGTACTCCAGAATCAATCCCTTCATTCTTGTCAAGTCTGTGGCATAGGCGTTGGGAATGTTCTGTGTTATGCTCTGGTGCAGGGTTAGATCCCAGCAGCGAACGATGTGTCTTGCGATGGTTTCGACAGTGGTACGGAGAGCTGACCGTTGAGGCATCAATGACAAACTACTGCACGTAAAATAACTTGCCAAGAAAAACCACAACAGCCACAAAATGCTGGGATTAGTACTGCAACGTCCTGTGAAAGGATGCGCAACTATCTTTTGAGAAAAAAAAAAATGCATCACATCTATCAAATTTAATATGACATGCCCATTTTACATTCTTATCCTTATTGCGTTACAGATTCTTTAACCAGGGACATCATTGTGGTAACACTGCTTCCTCTGGCTGTTTTCATCGGCTTCGCTGTTATTGTCTTTCTCTACGCACATCGTTACATCAGAGACAAGTAAGTACTGATGTCAAGTTATGTGATTCTTCATCTGACAGTTGTTTCAGCCCTCAACATTTACAGCATCTGTTGTGAAATATTTTTTTTTTCTAAACGATGGACACAATGAAATGTGTAATCCATTTAAATTACAGTTTACCACTGGCTTCATAAAAGCGTTTTATATGGTTCTGAAGCTTAAAGCACAACTAAAACAAACGAACCGCTTTGACAGGTTTTTTTCAAAAACGACAAATCTTTGGACCAATCAAAGATGCCACAGCGGTGAATGGAGAGTGAGAAGCAACAACGAAATTCATAATCTATTTAAATCACCACTGATAACTGGAATTATGAGAGCTAATAGACTTAAATGGTTGGGGCATATTGAAAGAATGTCAGATGACAGAGAAGTAAAAACTGTATACACGCGGCATACCTAAAAGACGTATGAGAGATAATATCCAGACAGACCTGCAAACACTTGGTGTCAACATCTGGAAAGAAAAGGCCAACAAAGGAGATGAGTGGAGGCGGGTGATATCTGCAGCGATGAACCTCAAGGGCTCGGAATGCTGAGGAAGAAGGCCAACAAAGGAGATGAATGGAGGCGGGTGATATCTGCAGCAATGAACTTCAAGAGCTCGGAATGCTGAGGTGGAAGGCCAACCAAGGAGATGAACTGAGGCGGGTGATATCTGCAGCAATGAACCTCAAGGGCTCGGAATGCTGAAGAAGAGGGCCAACCAGAGAGAAAATGGAGGCGGGTGATATCTGCAGCAATGAACTTCAAGGGCTCGGAATGCTGGAAAAAAAAAAGATCATGAAGGCTTAAAAAACTGAAATGTTTCAGACGTATAGAAAAAATTATAGATGGTAGAGACGCAGCAAATGTCTACATACGGGTGTTGAATGATTATAGACCACGATGCCGACCACGATGACATTGAAAAGATTATTATCCAGGCAGATTTACACAAATACATTTACACTTGGCGTCACTAACCGAACGTGATCTTTTGTTTATATGCTAATAGAAACACTACAGTATGCACCTGACTACATCAGTGAAATATATTAGGCAGTAAAGTATGCAATATTATGTTTGTGAATTTACAATATGGATTCATAACGGGAAAACAGCGTTATGAAACGCCATTCAGAAATCCATATCATAATTTACGGGGCGTACGAGATTTGTAAAAGGCATACAACTACAATTATCGTGATAAGAAATGTGTTAAAATAATATATGAGACCGAATGAGTTACAGAAATAAATGTAAAGAGAATGAGAATTTACTGTGTTTCTACGGCTTCATCATCTTTTTCTTCTTCGCTCTCTTTGGCTTCCTTATTGAATGTTAAGAAGAAGGAATGGTGGGGATATTTGACCAACCAGCCTTTCCGTGTAGGTTCTGTGGCTTTATTGTGGGAAACACCAGAATAGACGTACTGCTCCCTCACTAAGGAATTCCAAAAGCATTTTATTTTATTTCACGTTATCACTTTATTTTATCGCTTATTAATACCATTTATATATCATTAACTGTTTCTCGATGAATCTAGTACAAGGTGTCGTTCCCACAATTTGCCTGATAGTTTCATTATTCACTCGATCTCGTATTACTCTTTACTTTTATTCCTACTATTATATTATATATTAACAATAGTACTTTTTATTCTTTGCGTCTATTTTTGTAGCCCTAATTTATTTTATTTTATTTCATTCACATCATATTTTTTTGAAAAGATTCTCACTCACTTCCTAGAGATTTGAATACTCTCCTCTTTGTTACCGTTGTGTGGTTCATTACTTGTTCGAGAGAGGCCACCGGCTGAAACGTTGTTTTGTGGACGTTTTTCTGCTTGCCGGTTTCGTTATGCTTTTTAGTCAAATTTCACTGGAATTCCTTGGTATTAGCTTGGCCGCAGTCACCCTCATATTTGATCCCTCACAAGCATGTCGTAAGAGTCGACTAATAAGGACTTTCCTCGAAGTCAGAGTGCACCTGGCTGAAAGGCAAGAAACTAACAGTCTACATACAACTAAGCCAGATCTGTAAAACTGATTTGCACGCACTACTCAAGTTCTGAAACAAGACTAAATTCCAGAGGTAGGCTAACTACAAGAACTTTCCGAAAGAGGTTAAAGTTGGTAAACTCAAAAAAGAACAGAAAGAACAACCAGCTAATAAGGACCATCTTCCTGCCTTTATCGATGCATTAAAACCAATGAGAGTTTACAGCGCTGTCACCAAGGATGACATGACCTGCTGGCTGTCTGGGCAAGTAAAAAATGTCCCTGCTCAATTCTTCCCTGACGGAGCGAGCTTTCAGCTCTCCTAATTTTTGATTCAAGTATATTTTCTTTCCAGGCCTCAGTCACCGAGCACAGCAATTTGTGGAATGACACCATCATTCACAGGCTTATTCATTCATAGATTTCTATCACGTAAATATATTTTATTTTGCATTCAGCCCCCCCCCCCAAACTCTCACGCCCCCCAAACTCCCACGTCCCCTCCCAAACTCCCACGCCCCCAAACTCCCACCCCCCCCATTCAGGAAGACCGTCTAGAGCAGCGGTTCTCAATCTGCCGAATGCGACCCTTTTTTGGGTCGAACGACCCTTTCACAGGGGATCGTCTAAGACCATCGGAAATACATATTCATTGAAGTTATAAAGGAACAAAGTAGTTTGGGGGTCGCCACTACATAAAGGAACTGTATTCAAGGGTCGGGGCATGAGGAAGGTTGAGAGCCACTGCTAGATCGAGATTCAAATTGTCTCACAAGGGTCTTCTGTTTACTTTGTAAGATGTGCTGTGCAGTTTAATCCTCCCTTTCTCTTAGGTGGTTATCGAAACAAACTTGAGTTTTGTGTGCACATCAACTTTACAGATCCGGCAGATAGATGTGCAGCAATCCGACAATCATTTGGGTGATCTTTCTCATGCAGTGTGACCACTATATTTCATCTAGTTTCGGGTACTATTTTCACCAGATATAATCTCAAATATTAAACATTGACAATATCTAAATAATGCGGACAAGCAACACATTGCACAATTGTTTGCCTGGCACATTTCGCTGTATCTCGGCAGGGGCAGTACTACAGAGTTTAATCAACATAAAATGAAGCACAAAACGAATTTTCTTGCTGAAAGGCATAAATCACATTATTGAGTTGCTGTACATCTATTCACCGGAACTGTAAAATTGATGTATATGTAAAACTCAAATTTGTGTCTGCAATATTTAAATATACATCAGAAATCATTGTTTTGGAATGTCAGTTTCAACAGACATGTAACCAGTTTTTAATCTTTTTTTTTGTTTGTTTTGTTTTAGGATTGACAAACCGATTGTTCCAGCTGTTCATTTCACTCCCTCAAAAGAAGGACAAGTCAGAATTTCAGAAGATACAGAAAACTATGCTCCCCCGTCTTATGAAGACGTCCTCGGTGTGTCAAAGACATCTGTTCAAAATAAAACATACAACAGTGTCCCTGACAGAGAAAACTTTCAAGAAGATGCTGATTCCAGGTGTAGAACACAACCAAGTAATAAGGAAACAGCGCAAAGTCAAAAGATGAAATCTGGAGACTTTAGAGAGCACGATCTAAGCACAATGACTAGTTCTAAAGATGCCAACATAATTGATGATAATGACAGATTACATGGCTTGTTACCACACGCCACTGATGATGATGGGAATAAAATCGATGGTCAAAGAAAAGGCGAGAAAGGAAAAACTAAAGTGCACAGTAATGAAAGTTGTCTATAGGCATCAAAATTAATCTATAAAATGTAACGATATTATAATTTTTGTTTTATGACTTCGCTTCAATTGAACCCAATTTTCTGTCGAAAACAGGGAATGACTGCAGCAGAGCTGATATTAAAGAGTAAGTTAACACAACCCAAGCTTAGGCTAGACAGATTAATTAACAGGAGCGAAGAGAAGATATGCGTTTAGATAAAACTGGACGTTTCATCCAGTCTTTATCGGTGGACAAAACAACTGAGTGATTAAAAAAAAAAAACATATGCCCTTTCTGGTAATTAATAAAACTGTTGTTTGTTCAGCTGGTAAAGTCTTGTCGAAACATTCTGTTTTTTTCATACTGATCTCGTCCTTTCTCTCTGTTAGGTTTCTAATCATAGTTTGTGATGTTTTAAATTACTTATCGAATTACCATGTGCCTTTTTGCGACAGCCTTGTCACTTCTACTGCTGCCGGAAATTCAATAACAAGTCCTTTGTTGCCAGAATTGCCTACCAACTCCGAGCCAAAGACATCTGCAGAACAATAACAGGCAGCCACATATGATACATCATCTCTTTTAATACATCTTTTAACAGCGTTATGTGATAAATGATACCACGAGAAAAGATACTGGCCATTTTGGCATTATAGCATGGAAGAACGTCTGTGTCAGAGTTGAATGACCGTACCCTAAACAGAAGGCAGTGGATGGACATGGCTACAAACGCCATACACATGGGATTTTGAAATAAAATGCACATCAAAAATAATGGCAGAGAAACAATATTACATTGCAAACAGAGACAGCACATACATGGCTTTCGTATGCACAGGAACAAATTAAATGGGTTTCCCCACTTGAAAAAAATACCCTATGACTGTTTACCATTCAAGACATATTCCAAAAGAGGAAATGGGTGTAGGGCAAGAGGTAGACCAAGAACCACATGGAACGATAACATCGGAGAAACTCTGCAACAGAACTATGTGTCAGTGCTCATATAGGTCAGAAATGCAAGAACCATAAACTTGTATCTCCTTCGACATCTGGTGGGTGGGGGAAAAGTAAAGAAGAGGAGTGAATAATTAAAGTTACTACCGGAATTTGTCCAAAAAGAAAGTATAATTATTGGTTACTCTGTCCATGTTGTACATTTCTCAACTCTCTGTGTTACATTCTTGAATTATTTGAATACTTCAGTGTGTTTTGAGCTGAGGGGTCGGCTTCACTTCAGTGAGTATTAATCCTGTATGCAGTACATGTTATCTTTCATTACACGTACTCGTCCCTAAATTGGACAATATATTGTTTGTTTATGTTGCAGCCACTCCATGGCCCAAATATATATCACCTTCAGGTTAAAAGGTTTCTTGGATTTTACCTGGGAAATTCTCATCCTAGTGATGAGACAGTGTACTTTGCCTCCATGGAAATTCTCATCCTAGTGATGAGACAGTGTACTTTGCCTCCATGGAAATTCTCATCCTAGTGATGAGACAGTGTACTTTGCCTCCATGGAAATTCTCATCCAAGTGATGAGACAGTGTACTTTGCCTCCATGGAAATTCTCATCCTAGTGATGAGACAGTGTACTTTGCCTCCATGGAAATTCTCATCTAAGTGATGAGACAGTGTACTTTGCCTCCATGGAAATTCTCATCTAAGTGATGAGACAGTGTACTTTGCCTCCATGGAAATTCTCATCTAAGTGATGAGACAGTGTACTTTGCCTCCATGGAAATTCTCCTCCAAGTGATGAGACAGTGTACTTTGCCTCCATGGAAATTCTCCTCCAAGTGATGAGACAGTGTACTTTGCCTCCATGGAAATTCTCCTCCAAGTGATGAGACAGTGTACTTTGCCTCCATGGAAATTCTCATCCAAGTGATGAGACAGTGTACTTTGCCTCCATGGAAATTCTAATACAAGTGATGAGACAGTGTACTTTTGCCTCCATGGGTGGTAATCGCTCGGTGTGCGTTCCTAGTGGTGTTCAATTTGACTCACTAAAAATCCCATGTGTCTCAGTTTCTCTCTACACACCATCGAAAGCGTGGCACAAACCACACAATTCCATAGTTCCTTCTACGACCTCCATCACGTGGGCGATCATGCCTCTCCACAATCTGCAATCTCCTGCAAAATGTATCAGTTCGTGTGTGGAAACACTATTAAGTCTTGCAACAGGACTGTCAAGAATCTTCTCTCGTTGTCTTCCTCTATCCCTCCTTCCACAGATCTTTCCAGTGGTCACAACATGTTCTATTTTCTTTCTTCTCGTAACTTGGCCGAAAAAAAGATGACTGTCTCCTTCTGATGTCTGTGATAAGCAGTCCTCGGACTCCTGCCTATTTTAAAACCTCTTGGTTGCTCTTTTTGGCTGTCGAAGGTATTCTAAGCATTCTTCTGTAAAACCACATCTCTGAGGCCTCAAGAAATTGTGACCTCCTTGGATCCCCTAAAAATCTGCTCTCATAAACAGAAATCATTGTTGTCTCCAATTAACACACTAGGCGCTTGCTTGTTTTAATATATATAATATACTTCTTTCAATGCTTTGTGATCCATCCAGTTGTACTAACACAGTCTATGGAAGCTTGTACCTATAATCTAAGTGTCCTGTAGTTCTTTTTCTCCTTCGCGTTCACTGGCTCTAAACTCTAGCCGACAGCTCTTGGTATTCGTCCTCCTCCGGACTTTAGTCTTGTTCCAGAACCTGTCTGCTTCATGCACATCAGTTTCACAGATGTGTCTTATTTGTTTGCAGACTTGTGGTTCCTTGACTCTCATGCAGATATACTCCGACTTCGAAGGATGTATACTCCGACTTCGAAAGATGCCCCCGGTATGTCGACAAGCATGACGTACTTGTCGGGGAGGCAGTGAGTCTATTCTCGATTCCCCCAAATTGGGGCTTCGGAACCCACACAAGTTGAAATACAAGTCAAACTAAAGACCCTTTTCACCTCAGGAGCGCATCAACCAGAGGATTCAGGACGCATATTTTCATTGACCCATCGGCACTCAATGGGGGATGTCTACATCTCTTCGGTAGCCTTCGCTTCAGTGACATTTCCTGTTACCCTTTTTAGATTGTGACGACATAGAGCTAATGACAATTTGCATTCCTTCTTCGTGTGGTACAGTTTCGAACCCAAGACCTTCGGACCGACAAACGAGCAGCTAACCACTATCTTATCCCAACTCTCATGTACTATGTTATTATATAAAGTCCCAAGATCCAGCTGATTACTGATTGATTGGCGCGTTTCCGTATTTCCAGACGATAGTGTTATGTTGCGCAGTGAGGACACATGGCACTCATAGCCCTTAGCGTTGGGAGTATGTTACTATGCCAATGAAAACAACAAAAAATGTCCATCACTGTCCTTGGCGGGAAAAAAACCTAAAAACAATTGACACAGGCTGCAATCTTAGCAAGTACAACAGCATACACACGCATAAGACAACAATCAAAAGTGCTAAGACAAATAATCTGACACTATAAAGGCAGTTCATCGTCGATGTAAGCAACAGTATCAACCAAACAGTAGTTGCACACGGAATTAATCACACAAGGCACCACAGTTTCTCTGGCAATAGGCCGCTAGCCATTTCCAGAGTCTTCAGTTCACACCACTTAACCACGTTGGTACAGTCGTGAAGCATTCCAAATTGAATCCGCAGCCAACGGTGTCGTGCCATGCATTCAACCTAGTAGCTGGACGACGGAACTATATAATTTCAGTCTATATATGGAGAAAAATGCAACAACTAACTATTGCCAGAAAAAAAAAAAACTAGTCACGACTAGAAGGATATTATAATAATGAAAAAAATAAAAATAAAATGAAATAAAAAAACAAACTGCCTGTTCGCCATATCAACGGAAAGCCCCCTCTGAAGCCTACTAATACAACTTGGTGCCAAACTTATACTTTCTGGGTGGTTGAATAGTATATCATACGTTTTGCCCGGCTAGTTTCTTATCCAGGATGAGATTCTGGTAGTTTCAAGGGTGTTCGTGTCTTCAGGTGTCAAACAAATATTTGTATGTATTTTTGACTGAATTATATTGTGTATATTCAAAAATAAAATGTCCTTTTCATACAATTAAAATATGCTTTTATACATTAAATTTGAATTTTTCTCACAAATTGCGCTTGTTAAAGGCGCTCTATCCCGTGTACAGTCTGTGAGTTCGTGTATGTTTGTATGTATGCATATATATATATATATATATATATATATATATATATATATATATATATATATGAATATATATATACGTGTGTGTCACTATTGTTGATGTTGAATATTGTGAAGTCTGTCTTCAGACTAAACCCCTTTGACCTCCATGTGTTTTAGACATTGCAAATGCTTTTTACTTCCTAAGCATCCAGAACCTTAAATTTCTTTTATTTCCCAAATGTTTAAGGCAACTGAATTCGTTTATTTTGTAATCACTTTAAATCACCGCATTTCGCAAAAAAAAAAAAAAAAAAGACCCAACTCGAGAATTAGAGATAGCCCCCCCCCAAAAAAATCATGCCTAGGATTTCAGTCTGCTGGTAATATAAAAATTACCCCACCATGCGCTTTAGTTAAGATCGTTAGCAAGACGGACGTATTTGATAAGTTCGTAAAATACACGACTTAAATATTGAATTATAAAGGAATGAATGAATATATAAACATAAATAAATAGTATCCTTGAATTACATGCTTTACCTAAATGATAATATCAATGATAATTTAGTATTCACAAATACCTAAGCGCGCGCCTTTTGGTACATGAAAACGTAAGTCATCCCCTGAACAAAAGTTCTAAGCGTCGTTTCAGAGGTCATGGGTAGTTAGTGTTCTTTGGAAAAAAAATTCAGGGCATACCGGTGTATTAAGGAATAAACAGGTGGATAGACTGCCTGGTTCCACACAACTTAGTGGGGAATTAATACATGACAGGCCAGATTTGCAAGGGCCCTGTAGGAGGCGAGTGAACAGTGCAGTCGCAGAT